AGGTTGTGTAGCAGCGATCAGAAAACTGGGGCACAAGTGACAGGCCTCAGCCCGTGTGTATCAACTGAAGCCTAGATCAGCCGGATTGTGGGTACGGAAGGCTCTAGCAGATTTACTCCGAGAATAAAATTGTTCTAAAGTAGTTACTAAAGAATATTGTATCGAGGTTATGTATATAGAAATATATGTATGACAGATGTAGATCATCTAGTTGTAAAAGTAATTCAAACAATAATAAAGTACTTGACCAAAGGGGTCACTTTAACACCAAAAAAAAAAATAAAAAACCTTTTATACAAATATTAATAAAAACAAAGCTTTATTTAATTATATATTAAATTTTATAGTTTTAAGAAATAATATAAAAAATAAAATTAGTTTATTATAATCAGGTATATAAATATATAAATACTTTATATACTAGTATATACTTTTAATTTTTATTGCTTAAAAACCTTACCAAAACCTATTATATTAAGAGTTTATAAAATACAGTATTTGTAATATTTATTATTATTTATATCCCATAATAGTTATAAAAATAACTAATTTATATATGCAAAAATCCATCATTCTAAAAGTTATAAAATATTTATAACATTATTTCTTTATATCACAATAATGATTATCTATATAATATAGAAATAACTAACTTTTCAAGTAGTCACATGCTATACACATAATCACATCACCTTCGTTTTTATATGTACATCTTGGACAATCCCACTGTGGAGTTAAAAAATCAATAGGTAAGAAATCCTGTGATTGTTGATTCGTATCTGGCTTTATGTTCAAACAAATCTCACATTGTAACGCCAATGGCTTATTTTTAAATGTGCATTTTGGACAACTCCATGACGTGTTGTTTATTCCAGGAATTTTATCAGCCGGAATCCGAACTGCAGATGAACTTCCACTGTATGGTATTTTTGCGACATTATTACCGCTATTACTTTCATCATTGCTATTACCAATTCGTTCACTACCACACCAAACCATGTCATTTTTTCTCCTTTCAGCCGCAACAGCAGTTAATTCTCTCATTGGAACACCATGATGTTCCCAACCAACTCCACCTAATTTTATACCACCATGTGTCATTATTTTCCTCAACTCTGCGGCTTTCAATGCTTTTTGTCTGGCCATGGCTGGTGTGTCATTGTGTGATACTCCTTGGCCAACTTTATAGCCATTTCCATAAAATCCCTCACCGGCTTGGCCGTTGACGAGTAATTCATCGTATTCGTCATGTAGTTCATCAAGTTGTTTGTAGAACGCTGCATCGTGTGGTCCATATTTGTTATGCGTTAACCTAAAATAAAGTAAAATGAGGGTGTGATGGAATAATTATAGAAATATAGATTAATAAAGATTACATACTCATGCAACAGTGTCCCGATGAGATTATTGAAATCGATAAATCGACTTTCGTCATAATGAGGACGTAATCGTATACATATTTTTTCGCCACGATTTATATTTATTCCTAAAAAAAAAAGTGGTTTAAGTCCAAATTTACACATATTTTCACAACTACAATCGAAACATACCAAGTAGCCTCTGATCTCCAGGAAAAACTTCTTCTAAAACCCCTACTTTCCAATTATGTTTTTGCATTATAGGCTTTACCTAGCAATATAAATAGATTATATTGGCCATATTAGCCATATGATTTTTATATAAGAAAATTAGGAAATCCCATCATACAGTACATGAGAAGCCAACTTTTTCAGTAATTCTAGCGCTTCGGCATGATTCGGAT